CCCCCCCCCCCCCCCGAGCACTGCTTTACCGTGTTATATCCGAATTCGTCTTATATCAGGCATTATATCGGGGTAGAGGTGTACCTCTCTCCATTCTCACCTTTTATTCCTACCCTTTGTTTCCTATCTTTTAACTGAAGTGCCTGGCAGTGCTTTCAGGATAATTAATTTACTTTAATGACAAGCCTTTTGTTATCTTAATCACCCTGCCTCTATTTATAAACAAACTCCCTGCCCCAAAGGCTGCGCTGCTCACAGCTTCTGAACTCCACATATCACATTCAAGCTGTTGCAGTTAAGAGCTCAGTCGGGAGCTAGGGTGAGTAGATCTCCCCTACAAAACTCGGGGGGGGGGGGCTAAATCCCTCCCTTGCCCCCGCCCAATGGTGCCCCCGATTGTGCGGGAGACCTGAAAACCTTTCAAAAGTTTTGCCTTTAACTCATTCTGGGTAAAGATCACAAAGGGAAAGGATTGTAGTTGCACTGCATTTTAATCCTTTTGTTGTAAAAATGCATTTTTTTTAAAAATGAAAGAGCTGAACTTTTAGCAAGTGCGTTGGTCATTTAGTTTCTGTTTTCCATATCATCTCTCAACCTATTCATAATAATGCACACAGTTCTCTTTTTCGTTCACCTCCCCCACAGGCAAACAACTGTGGAAAGGGAGCTCAAGGACTCTGCAGGACTAGTGCCATGGTCTGGCTATGCCAGACAAAAGAAAGGAGGCACCAGGTGTGGTTTAATTAGGCTGCAACTTTATTTGCTTAAAATATCTGGGAGTACCTGGCAACAATTTGTACAGGAAGGAGTAGGAGATGTAGGATGTAGTACCAGATGTAGGAGCCCCAACCCTCTTCCTCGACTCCTTTAAAGGGTGCTAGGAAAAGGAGGGGGGGGTCGCTTCCCTTGTACGAGATGTAAGGGCCCCAAAACCCCTTTACTCAGCTCCCTTAAGGAATGATTTCCTTCCAAGCCTTTTCCAATCCGTGTTATCCGATCCCTGAATTACTCCCATATTGAGTACCTGCACTGGACATCCACAACAAGTTTTATGTAGTAAGTTGCAACATTATAACCTAACCCTCTTACTCCACCCCACTGGGTCTCAAACCAGCTGTTGGGAAGGTGAACCCCCCCCACACACACACAGACCTTGGTCAATCTGTCAGTGAGGGAAAAATTCCTTCCCAGTCCTCCCCCACCCACCAAGGAAAAGAGCAACTAGCATTATGTCCATATCAGGTCAAGGGGGAATCCGGGCCTTTTGCTATATTCAGGGTGGGTGTATGCTGCCACCTTGATCCTCATAAAGAGGGCCTCTGCAGGGTTGCATGGGGTATAAATATCCTCCCACTCTTCCAATCAGCAGGAAGGGCAGTGCAGTTACTTTCTCCTGACCTGGGAACAACTGCTTCCTGCCCTTCCTGTCCATCCCTGTAAACATTCCCCTTTCTTCCCACCCATTGTAAGAAATTCTTAAAGGAGCAACACCCCTTTTCTCCCATCTAACTGGACAAAAAAAAAAAAACCTTGCATAAAGCTTGCGATGGACACATTATCAGTATTAAATTTTTCAAAGGAGGTAGGAGTAGAAATATGTCCAGACACCTTCTGAAATTCCTACTGGGGCAGTACACCTCACAGGGCTGTGTATCTATGCTGTAGTGGAGTCCTTAGTATACAGGGAATACCTCAGTAATGCCAATCGTGATACAGTGTTGTGAGTCAGCAATTGAAAAGCTATTTTATATATGCACGCAGCACATGTGCCCAGTACTATGGGCTGAATCCTACAATCCTTTCTCCTTAGTTGGGCAACATTCCCATTGAAGTCAATGGGTGGAGTGAATAAGGACAGCAGAATTTGACTCCATGTTAATGCAATATCAAGGTCCAGATTTTCACCACAAATTTCAAGAAACTCAGAGTGAAAGGCAAACGAATATTAAATGAACATTTACAGTGCTACACATGAGCATGAGAGAGCGTGAAAATGAGAGACTACTTGGTGATGTAGTGCACTGTGCTTATAAAGGTTTCAGCAACCCCAGTTTTGGTTGGCTACATTAATAATGAATGGTGAAGACCAGGGGTCAGCAACCTTTCAGAAGTGGTGTGCCGAGTCTTCATTTATTCACTCTAATTTAAGGTTTCGCGTGCCAGTAATACATTTTAACGTTTTTAGAAGGTCTCTTTCTATAAGTCTATAATATATAACTAAACTATTGTATGTAAAGTAAATATGGTTTTTTAAATGTTTAAGAAGCTTCATTTAAAATTAAATTAAAATGCAGAGCCCCCCGGAGCAGTGGCCAGGACCCAGGCAGTGTGAGTGCCACTGAAAATCAGCTCGCGTGCCGCCTTCGGCACACGTGCCATAGGTTGCCTACCCCTGGTGAAGAGAATACCAGGCTACACAGAGCATCCCAAATGAGTGTCAGTAAAAGCTTTATACCACACTAATTCTAATTCAATTCAGAAATGTTATAGAGAGTTTTACATGTTTTAGTAATACTATTTTTCATAGGCCCTCCACCTGTAAAAGCCAGGCTGCCATAGTTAATCATTAATTCCAAGTGAGCAAGCCTTAGAAAGGGAGAGAAAAATATGACTAATTAATATATGGAACCTATAAAAATTATCTACTTAAACCTAGCCTATGTCTGATCTGTCTACCTATTAAGCTTTTATACCATGCTTATCACCATGGTACAGAAGCATTTATTATCCGTCTTCCTTCCACTCCAGCCACGGGAGCTGAATCAGTGAGGTGAGTTTGTCTATTGCACCGTGTTAAAGTGTGTATCAGTGGCTAGTGCTCGGTGCTGTACACCAATGCTTCTTCCAGTGCAGCTGTGCTGATTTATGCCAGCTGCGAATCTGACCCATTGTGTCTGCCCCTGGCACTATTGACTCCAGGAGCTGCTACCCGACTGCTGGCTGTGTCTAAAAGGTGCAATAGAACCATTAATTTATAAAAAATTAAAACGTTGAGTGCATTGTACAAAGATGTTTAGAGATGATTACTGTCTGCTCAGCCTTGTGTATTCAAATGTCTAAGCTTATAGGAGTAGGGATGGCCCAGGGGTTAGGATGCTAGCCTGGGACTTAGACGATATGGGTTCAATTTCCTGCTCCATCATAGACCTCCTGCATGATGTGTTTCTGGTCCCCTCTGTAAAATGGGGGTAATGGCATTTCCCTCCATTACAGGGGGGTGGTGAAGATAAACACATTCAAGACTGGAAAGCACTCAGATATTACAGTAATGGGGGCCATATAAGTACCTTAGATAGACAGGAACGAAGGATTTGTCAAGGTGAGCAATGCACATATTAAGGTAGTCAGTCAGTTCTCAATTCCTGGCAATAGAAAAGGTTGTAAAGATGGAACAAAAATTAATCTGTGTATTTTCCTGTTGAAAGTCAGAGAGATGCTTACAGTGTATGGGAGTAGCTTCCTTTTTCACTCCCCAGTCAGTAAGAATTCAGGCTGTGAATATCATCTGTGGCTGTAAAACCCATTTACTTCGTGTTTGTTCATCTGACCAGTAATCTCAAATTCCATTCAATCTGCACAGATTTCAGTTGTTTGCCTGATAGCAACAACTCTTGACTATGACCAGCTGGGCGCTATGAAATCTCTCAGAACACTGAGGGCATTGCGGCCTCTCCGAGCCCTATCCAGATTTGAGAGCATAAGGGTAAGGGTATATTTTAGTGTCTATCAAGTATGAGCACTTTTAATGCTGAGCACCTTCTAACTTTCCTTACAGGAAAATAACATAGAATCTTCTCTTTTAGGTGCTGTGTGGGGATCCAGATAACGGTGACAATGGAAAGAGTCACACAAATTATATACATAATTCTTTTAAAGAGTCCATAATAAACTCAGATCCAGTGGCAGATTAAGGGGAGATTTTTTTTAAATCAGTATTTAGGATTGATAATTCAGTTGACCATGGCAATCTTAAAATCTTCTACCGTTTTAATAAATCATTGGCTCTTGCAGGATCTTAAAGTGATTCATTGGGAGAGCACTAAATTGTAGCATTTACATGATTTAATAATACTTCTAATGATAGATACACACACACCTCTGTCAGCTGTAAACTAAATAAAATGTTGCCGCCACAGAATAGTATTTTTGTAATTGTAATCTCCCCTTTTTCTGACCAAAAAGGTCCTGTTGACATTACTAGGCACCTGTGTGCTTCGCTAGAAGGAAATAGACTCTATTTCTATGAGTTTACATTAAATTGGAACAAAGGCTTTATATTCTGAAGGCATCATGGAAAGAATTGTGTATATATCTGGATGTTAAAACTTCTTTTCTTTCTGCATTGATCTAATTCGATATCTTCCATTTAGGGTATTTCGTCACTGTCCCACTAACAGGTTTTTTCTTTTCAGGAAGGAAAGGCAGAAGAGAAGTAAAATGGTAGGATTGTGCTAATAGTTTGGACTTTTGCTTTATGTCTCCATTCAGGTCTCTTTAATAAGCCTCATAGCTAACTCACTTGGATACTCCGAAATGGGTCCTATTAAATCCCTTAGGACTCTCCGAGCTTTGAGACCATTAAGAGCATTGTCACGATTTGAAGGGATGAGGGTAAGAGTAAACAAAGCAACCATCGAAGCCCATCTGTGTGAACATCAAGCATGTAAAAGGGCCATATTTCTTTGGTTTTGTTTTCATTATGACTGCAAAGGAAATGAATGATAATGCTGTGTGGGAAAAAAAACCACCTCCATTGTATTGATTGCATTAGTATAGCTGCAGCTTTTACTCTCTGGTGGATTTCATGATAAGCTAATCCCGCTGCATAACTTGTCATACTATGTTTTAAAAACAACTTTTTGGCTGAGGTAACATCTGGCTAACAATTGTCTCTTTAATTATGAGGCACATCAGGGAAAATAATTTTGCTACAGGTTTGCTCCTGCCTCCAAATTTTATTAAAATTAGAATCAATCACAAAGTTGTTGAGGACTTTTTCACTAATAAAGAAAATGAACATTAGAGGCACACTATGTATAGAAAACAAATGAGCAAATTCACAAAAACTTTCCTCTAAAGTATTTGAATTTTAATATAGAATGCCAGGATTAGCATTGTAAGCATGTGACTTGTGTTCATTGTTCTATCTTGCATGTCTATCCTCTCCCATTTGCATTTTCTTGAATGTATGGATGTATCCACTAGCATCATACATATTTATTTGTGCTTGATTAGCATAGCAAGTATGTTTAAGTATCTGGAGTTGGGCTTTGTTCTTTAAACTATTTTTATCATGCATGACTATCAAATGACGATAGCTGCATTCTGTACCAGTCAAAGGTACCACTAATACTGTAGATCACAAGGCAAAACAAAACAAATCTCTGTATGGCACAACCTGTAACATTTGGGAGTATATAAGGTACCAACTTAAGCACCACTTCCAAGATTTCTGATTCTGATATATATAAAATTACATCTGTCCTATCTGGAGACACCAAATCCCTAAACTATGTCAAGGAAAATGGTAAGGTGTTAATAATAAAATCAATTTGGAATATGGCGTCTTTTGCCTCTAGATCGCAAGTTCAAATTCAATGTAAGTCACTAGCAATCAAAAGTCTATACAGTCCATGTGCAACAAGTTGGTGGTTTCAGCTGAAGTCCTAGTGGTCCAGTTTCCATATCATAATCATGCCATAGTAAGACAGCCGGAGGACTGAATGAGCCTAGAAATTGAGCTAACCCTATAAGTAGTTAAGTACATTGGTGGAGCAGTGTGGGGCATCCAAATTTGAACTGTTTTGGTTCAAAACACTGCATTCTTCTTAGTGAACCCAAACAATATCATGTTTTAAAGAGTATTCACACACAAAACAGTCCATAGGCTTAAGCAGCCAGATCCCCAGCTAGTGCAGCTCTACTAAAGTTAATAGAACTACTTCTGTTTACACCAGCTGAGGATCTGGCCCCATATTTTTATTAAGTGTGGGTTGTGCCGTATACCCAGCTTCACCTACTACAGGCCACATTGCTTTACCACATTCAGGAGCCCTAGCAGGAAATATGGTGCAACTGAGAGGGACAAAGATCTGATCTAGACGCATAGTTGCACCAGTTTAGCTAAAGGTGTGATTTGTGCGTGGACATCTTAAATTGATTTAGACCTGACTTACATTGGTTTAGCTTAAGTTGGTAAATATACAAGCTCAATCAAAACCCATATAGCCAGTTTTAAAGTATTATAAGAATATCCATACATGAGTTTGTATCGGTTTAACTAAATGGTTGTTAAACCTAGCAACTTCTGTGTGTAGTCCAAGTCCAAAGTATAGGGCATTTGAGAGGCTGAAAAACTGAGAGAGTAGAGAAACACTGAAGGAAGGTTGGGTGGGATGTTTACTGAGAGCTGGAGAAGAAGTTGGTTTGCTGTAAACCTGCAGGAGAAGACCATTTTCTATTACATCAGTCCCAGAAATGCTGTTCCTAAAATGCCCATATTCAGGGGTATCCTAGGTTTTCTGACACAAAGTTCTTGTCCTCCCTACCCCGTAGGTATAGTTGGAATGTGTACAGTCTTTGTGCCTCCTTTTTCTGAGCTATTAGAGGTACTGAATTAGCTTGTAAACTATGATAAAGTATCATTGAGAATACGTTCCACTGGAAAATCAAATTATTATATTTTTAGCATGTCTAACCATACTTACCATGGCTAGGGACAGTAAGACCTTTCATTATTAGGAACTCATATGCTCCAGAATGCACAAGGAAAATTACCAGAGGAGAGAGATATTAAATAATGTTAATGTTGAGACGCAAACACATAGAGTAAGGAGATAATAATAGTTTGTGTTTGTGTAGTGCCTTCAGTTAAGGAGCTCAAAGTACTTTGCAGAACTAAGGTGTAAGCAAGAAAATTCTCATAGGGTGCTTCACTAAACTATATTGTGCCTAGGTTTTGAAGTCAATTGGTCCTGACTAAAAGATAGAGAGGTAGACAGGTGATTTGGGGCCAGTGAATTAGAGGCATTGGTAGGTTTGGAGGGATGGTGTCTGCAGGGTCCCACCCACACAAGGGCTCCAAGATTGCATGGCAAACGGACCTGTCATGACTAGACTTCAGAGTGGCCAGGCCCCATGCCCTCCACATCCCATTTCTTCCTGTCTGGCAATGGGCTGAGTTTCAGTGCAGGCAGAAGAAATCCTCAGCTTGCACCAGCCCAACAGAGGGTTCTAGAAGTTAGGAGAGAACTACTTTCCGGCTATCCAAAGAGAAACCCTGTGGAGGCGGCCTCCCACAGGGAAACTGCAGCAGAGCCTTCGGCTGGTGCCTAGGGGTAGCCTAATGGTGCATGCACAGCTGCCAAACCCTGCTGACAAAAACTGTCTGACTGATAGATCTCAAAAAGTAATTGTAAATGGGCAATTGTTATCCAGTGATGTAATGTTTCTAGTGTGGTCTCAGGGATCTGTTCTTGACCCAAATCTATTCAATATCATTATCAATGACCTGGAAGAAAATATAAAATCATTGCTGGTAAAGCTTGCTTATGGTACAAAAATTAATATAGTGGTCAATAATGTTAAGGATAGATCAACTATACAGAGCAATCAAATGGGAAACTGGGCTCACTTGAACAACATTCATTTTAATACAGCCAAATACTGCATACATCTAGGAACAAAGAAAATAGGGCACCCTCGTACTATGGGGAACTGTATCCTGAAAAACAGAGGCTGAGAAGGGCTTAGGGGTCATAGTGAATAATCCACTGAACATGAGCTTCCCATGTGATGTGATGGCTAACAGAGCTAATGTGATTCTCTGAAGATAAGCAAGGGAATATCAAGTAGGAGTAGGGAGGTGATATTACCTTTTAATAGAGCATAAGTGAAGCCATTACTGAAATACTGACATTCTGGCATCCACATTTAAAAAGGGACATTGAAAAATTGGCAAGGGTTGGAAAAGAACTACAAGAATGATTCAAGGTCTGAAAAATCTGCCTTACAGGGAGGGAGTTAAGAAGTTCAATCTATTTAGCTTATCCAGAAGAAGGTTTAAAAGGTGACTTGATCACAGTCTATAAGTACTGACATGGGGAGAAGAGTTCTAATAGCAGAGGGCTATCAATCTATCAGACAAAGGCATAATGAGATTCAGTGGATAGAAGCTCAAACTCATCAAATTCAAAGTAGAAATAAGGCACACATTTCTAACACTGAGAATAATTAAACATTGGGACAATTTACCTAACAGTGTGGTGGCTTCTGCATCACTTGAAATCTTTAAATCGAGATTGGATGCCTTGCTAAAAGATATGACCCTAGATCAACCAAAAGGTATGGGCTTGATGTCGGAATTACTGGGTGACCTTTTCTATGGCCAGTAATATACAGAAGATCAGACTAAATGTTCACAATGGTCCTCTCAAGCCTTAACATCTATTGGGCAGATCATCAGCTGGTGTAATTGTCCATGAAGTCAGTGGAGCGATGACAATTTACGCAAACTGAGGATCTGCCCCATTATGAATCGGTGAAAGGAAATGTTGAAGATTTAGAGCAGTGGTTCTCAAACTGTGGTTCAGAACCCCATTTTAATGGGGTCGCCAGAGCTGGCTTAGACTTCCTGGGGCCCAGAGCTGAAGCCAAAGCCGGAGCCCCACCACCCGAAGCCGAAGCCTGAGGGTTTCGTCCCTGTGTGTTGGGACTCAGGTTACAGGCCCTCTGCCTGGGGCTGAAGCCCTTGGGCTCCTCTCCCAACCTGGGGCAGTGGGGCTCAGGTGGGCTCAGGCTTTGGTCCCCTCTCCTGGGGTTGTGTAGTAATTTTTATTGTCAGAAGGGGGTTGCAGTGCAATTAAGTTTGAGAACTCCTGATTTAGAGCACCTCCAGATGCCAAGTAGGGCATTGGGTGGCAAAACGCTACCCCCAACAGAAGTTATGGGGAAGGAGGTTTCGAGCATGGCCAATAAGATAGTAATGGGAATGCAGTGTTATAAAATCATCTCTTATAGATGACTGTACTGTATATGTTATTTCTAGACATAACAGAAATTTGGTCCTTAGTTTTGCAATGTTTGCGTCTCAACTTTAACATAAATTCTTAATAGTTTCGTCTGTTTACATATTCAAGTCCTTAATCAGCTGTTACTTGCACTGATGTAAATTAGGAGTAGCTCCTTTTAAACAAGTGGCATTATGTTGGTGTAAAATCAGTATAAGTCAGAGGAGAATTAGGCCCTTCATTAATAATTCATTCAAAGAAGTGTTACATGATTTGCTTCAAGTCTTGTGTCATATTTTGTTATCTACACTCCACTGAACATAATTCAGCACAAGGAAAAAAGGAGGATGCATGCATGACCATCGTTTGTATTGTCTAACTTGCAAGATTGTGTTCTGTTCCTATGCATGATCATTTGCACTGTAATCTCTCTATCTCTAACAGCCATAATGTTTTTGTCTCTGTCACACATAGTGTAATTGCAGTAGTTTGGGGCCAGCATGGTTGGACATTGAACAAAAACATCACATTAAAGAGCAAATGAAAATTATTAAGATATCTATTTGGGCAGTATTCCAATGATCATTTGCTTTGTAAATTATTTTGCATCTTGGTTTACAAAATAAAAATTGGGTTAAAACTATAAAGTTAAGAATGCACTAAATCTAAAAGTGAAAGATAAAATTAGCAAAAGGGACAGTAGTTGTAAAAAGTCTGCATATGGCAAAAATAGGTAGTCGGTCTTGCAAAAAATTTGCTCCTTTCAGAAATGTGCAAAATATAGTTCCAGGACTTGAAAGAGTTATGTAATTGTTAGGGCTGTCGATTAATCGCAGTTAACTCACACGATTAACTCAAAAAAATTAATTGTGATTAAAAAAATTAATCGCGATTAATCACAATTTTAATCACACTGTTAAACAATAAAATACCAATTGAAATTTATTAAATATTTTGGATGTTTTTCTACATTTTCATATATATTGTATTCTGCATTGCAATTGAAATCAAAGTGTATATTATTTTTTATTACAAATATTTGCACTGTAAAATGATAAACAAAAGAAATAGTATTCTTCAGTTCACCACATACAAGTACTGTAGTGCAATCTCTTTATCATGAAAGTGCAACTTACAAATGTAAATTTTTTTTTGTTACATAACTGCACTCAAAAACAAAACAATGTAAAACTTCAGAGCCTACAAGTGCACTCAGTCCTACTTCTTGTTCAGCCAATCGCTAAGACAAACAAGTTTGTTTACATTTACAGGAGATAATGCTGCCGTCTTCTTATTTACAATGTCACCAGAAAGTGAGAACAGGCATTTGCATGGCACTTTTGTAGCTGGCATTGCAAGGTATTTACATGCCAGATATGCTAAACATTCGTATGCTCCTTCATGCTTCAGCCACCATTCCAGAGGACATGCTTCCATACTGATGATGCTCGTTAAAAAAATGTATTAATTAAATTTGTGACTGAACTCCTTGGGGGGAAATTGTATGTCCCCAGCTCTGTTTTACCCACATTCTGCCATATATTTCATGTTATAGCAGTCTCGGCTGATGACCCAGCACATGTTGTTCATTTTAAGAACACTTTCACTGCAGATTTGACAAAACGCAAAGAAGGTACCAATGTGAGATTTCTAAAGATAGCTACAGCACTCGACCCAAGGTTTAAAAATCTGAAGTGCCTTCCAAAATCTGAGAGGGATGAGGGTGTGCAGCATGCTTTCAGAAGTCTTAAAAGAGCATCATTACGATGCAAAAACCACAGAACCTGAACCACCAAAAAGGAAAATCAACCTTCTGCTGGTGGTATCTGACTCAGATAATGAAAATGAACATGCATCGGTCCGCACTGCTTTGGATTGTTATCGAGTAGAACCCGTCATCAGCATGGACGCATGTCCCCTGGAATGGTGGTTAAAGCATGAAGGGACATATGAATCTTTAGCGCATCTGGCATGTAAATATCTTGCGATGCTGGCTACAACAGTGCCATGAGAACACCTGTTCTCACTTTCAGGTGACATTGTAAACAAGAAGCGGGCAGCATTATTGCCTGCAAATGTAAACAAACGTATTTGTCTGAGCGATTGGCTGAACAAGAAGTAGGACTGAGTGGACTTGCAGGCTCTACAATTTTACATTGTTTTATTTTTGAATGCAGTTTTTTTGTAAATAATTCTACATTTGTAAGTTCAACTTTCATGATAAAGAGATTGCACTACAGTACTTGTACTTGTAGGTGAATTGAAAAATGCTGCTACTTTTGTTTTTTTACAGTGCAAATACTTGTAATCAAAAATAAATATAAAATGAGCCCTGTACATTTTGTATTCTGTGTTGTAATTGAAATCAATATATTTGAAAATGTAGAAAACATCCAAAAATATTTAAATAAATGGTATTCTATTATTAACAATGCGATTAATCGCGATTAATTTTTTAATTGCTTAACAGCCCTAGTAATTGTGTATTTTCTTCAGTGTACCAGAATAAACTGCCTGTTCTAAATGTGTAAAATCATTTTACTGTGCTCTTTTATCCTTTCCAGAACCACAAAAGTAATGGTGAAATGAATTTGATATTATTGGCTTGTCAGAAAATTGGGCACTAATATGATAGAAAACAACTGACATTTTCCATAACCAGATTCACAATTTAATAAAATTTAATTTTTGCAGATCGATATCACTTTGTCTCAGTTTCAGAAATGTAAACTGAGAAGGGGAAAGGCTTAGTGTCTGCATATCAGATTCTAATCTTGAAAGCATGAAATAAACAAGGAGACAAATTCATATAGTAAAGTCTGGAATCTGTAGAAAGTCTGCCAGTTTACTTTGCATTGGTCCTGCAAAGTAGTGGCAGCACCTAGCGTAGCTGTGGATATGTAAAAACTGTACAAGCCATTAATATAGTGTGAAAAAATACATTTTGTGACAAAGATTTTTCTTGGGAAAATGTCTTTCATGTTATGCTTAGCATGCATCAAAGGCTTTTACATTTTGGATGGTGGTTTAGAATGCTGAATAACATATATATATATAAGGTGGTTGTTATATTAGCCTTATATTTTGGCGTGCATGTTGATATTGCTGAATTTTTCTGGGGATTATAGAATGCATATTGTATATTCTATTTGCATTGGTTCAGATCTATATTGCAAGCATTGACTTTTGTTCCTATGCCAATTGTTTATAAGTACCTTAAGTGACTGGGTCCTTTCTTATACAATATTTGTATGTGTAGTTGTATATATGGGTTTGCACACTAATCCTGCCTGGAGCCGATGGGTCTCTGCAGAAAACAGAATTATACAGAGTTTGGTATAGTATCGAGTGGGATAATGTGAGTCATATATATATTAAATCAGGGTGTGTTGGCTGTTTTAATGCTACACACTGTAGAGATAGGAGTAGTAAGGTAAGGAATTAAATTGTAACAGTAGATCCTCCATATTGGCGGTCAGATATCCTCCATAGCTGCCCTGCTCCAAGAATTTCAGTGACTCCACTTTCTCACAGTAATAATGGCTTCCAAACAATGATATCTTTGACAGATGAGATACCACTGGATCAATTACTACTCAGATAATTGATACCTTTCATAGTTAGGGTTAAAATTTCATGTATTGTGCAGGGGGCCTGAGTTCAGAAAGAGATTTAGATACTTTGCTGCTTAGAAAGAAGCTTCTCTTCCTTTCTCCTGGTCCCTTAACCATTGTGAGAATATTTTTTGTGCCCCACTGACCTCTGATTATACGCTTAACACATCACTAAACATAGGGTCGAATATGAAGCAGGGAGAATCCTGAGAGGTACTGCTACCTTGCCCTGTTATGAACAACAATTGGTTGCTAACTGGTTGTATGGGTGAGATACTGATACATTATTTTTTAAGGTACAAAAAAGAAGTCTTAAGTGTTCTTAAATTTTTCAAAATAATGGGCCAGATCTTCAGCTAGTTTTAATCCAGTTTACATCAGCTGAGGTTTGGCCCAGTTACTTTAGTGTACAAAACAGCTTCTTAGGGATGTGTTCATGTGAAGGCCTGCAGTAATTGTATGTTTTTTCTTTTTTTTCACTTACTTAAGGTGGTTGTGAATGCCCTGTTAGGCGCCATCCCTTCCATCATGAACGTTCTGCTCGTCTGCCTCATTTTCTGGCTCATTTTTAGCATCATGGGAGTGAACCTGTTTGCAGGAAAGTTTGGAAAATGCATTAACAAGACAGCAGGAGATATGCCTTTAGACTCTAAAGTTATTAATAACATGAGCGAGTGCATACTCTATAACGTGACAGGCAATTTTTACTGGACAAAAGTTAAAGTCAACTTTGATAACGTTGGTGCTGGTTACCTGGCTCTTCTACAGGTGGTAAGTTCTATCAAAAACACTTTTTCTTGTTAGGTAGATATCCAGTGGTCCAGTCATGTGAGGTGCTGAGGGTCGCCAGCTCTCACTAAAATCAGCACCTCCTAGGATCTGACTCCAAGTTAACACCTACACTTTTCCTTTTTACCTAGACTGCCAAACATATGCATTTTGAGTGGTGTAAATGATTAATGCTTTTGCTGATGAATCCATCTGATAAATATTTATTGTAGTTTCTGGTTTTAGGCTCAGATTAGGAGTTTCCAGGCAGGGCCAGCTCTAGGTTTTTTGCTGCCCCAAGCAAAAAAATTTTTGGCTGCCCCCCACCCCAGCCCTGGGCTCTCCACCTCCCCCCCCACCCACACCCCCTGCCGCCCCAGCCCTGGGTCACTGGTAACTTGCTCCCAGGGTGGGTCATTCAGCAGGAATTTTGGATGTGCACAGAACACAGACAGGATTGGTTCCCATATGGTACAGAACTGTAGTAAAGTGGAACAGTTTTCAGCTTGTGTGATTGGAGGATATCTGGATACATATTATAAGACTGTCCTACATAAATGAGGAAAAGTTGAGGTGCCTTTATTATTCTTTTGTTCCATTCTTTGTTTCTATGGGGAATTTGCCAATGCACTATCACTGTCTTCCTTTTAAACAAACAAAACTAAAACTTAAAAAACAAAAAAGCAATGGCTGTTGAAAATAGCAATTCCAGTCCTAATAACCACTGGGAAGCATTTCTTGCTCAATTTATTCTACTTTTTCTACAGCAAGTTACAGTGGATCAGTATATTTGATTTGGGAGAAATGAAGTAACAGCTGCCCAAATTGAGCTTGAGCGCTCCTGAATTTTGAGGGTGTTCAAATCTGGAAGGCAGGTGCTAGATTCCCTTTCTGAATATTAGCTAAATCTGGAAAAGTCAATTTCTGCTTCCATGGCTCAGAAGTGTAAATCCTCCTACGTGCCTGGTACTGTATCTAAAGCTGCCCAGTTTAGTAGAGCCTCCTCCCTTACTTTTCATTTTAAATTATAGTGGGATCCATGTACCTCCCTTGCTAGGCTTCAGATAGAGAGGTGCACTGTCCATTTAGTCCA